ATCTATTCATCAATCATATGTCATTAACAAACACACGAAGCAATCAACCATACATTATCAATAATATCATTCAGTAAGAGATAACAGAACAACTCATGCTTAGCAATTCAAACAAACAAAATAAGGGTAGGGTTGAGGTTTTACTGACCTCCTTTAGGGCAGAAAACCAAACAAATGCTTAATTTAGACGTTTAGGATCCAAGGACTCAAAACTTCAATCAATGAGTAACTCACAACCAGAGAGAAATAAGAAATTGAGTGAGAACTTAGCCTTAGTTGAAAGAGTTCTAAACATTACTGTATTGCATAATGATTTTTTCTGTTTGTTAGATATTGCTGGTGATGTTAGGTGAGAACAATTAACGTTATAGTGGAATTCAATACATTAGGATTAATAGAAATCAAATTCAGTAGTGGAGAGTGACGAAGGGGTAGAGGTGTGAGCATAATTAGGTGAAAATCTTAGAAGACAAAGGGAAATCAGTAGCGATTTTACATGAGAAGGGGAAAGTTAACCGTTGAAGGTAAACTCCATTAGTTAAGAGACTCAATGTCCAAAGGACTCTTTTCTTGACCTCTGGACCAAGAATAAGTATGATAGCACTGTGAGATGGCCATGCATGCCACCGATTTAACAGAACATAACGGATTTCTGAGGATTTGACCTTGCATCATTTGGTCTAGGGTTTCAGATTTGGGTGTTTTGAAATTTCATCAGTGAAATGGAAAGAAAACAACAAGCTTCATAGCCCAGGGACAAAGCGAGTGATTATGTATGTTTGATTTGAAAGAACAAGGAAGAAATCAGGTCAGTGGTGTTTTGAGCTTAGGGTTCAGATTCAGGCGTTTCAAATTTAGTGATTGAAAAAGAAAATAAGCGATTCACGGATAGGGAGGTAGAAGATATGATTTACAGGGAAATCTCACGACCTTGCACGAATTTGTGTAAGGTCTGGTGATTGATGTTCCTAGGAGGATAAGAGAAGAGAGAACGAAAGGGGAAATGGGTGTCTGTGTCAAAAGAGAAATGATTTTAGGGTTAGGAGTCTTAGTAGCCGTCTCTATTGATAAGGTTGAGGGGAAAGATCTGGGCCGTCCATCTTTTATATCGACGGTCTTGATAATTTTAGATTTAAATGTTTTCATGAAGAATTTCGGTGGCCTTTGGTTTCTTATGATCTAACGGCTATGATTAAACCTGCTGAATCTCTTTAATTTAAAGAGAAAAATGGAGACAAAATTATGGGCGATTGATCTAAAATATGGACGGCCTAGATCAATTGTGTTTGTTTTGTGTGTGCTGGAGACGAATGACGTGGCATGATCTCATTGGCCCAGAAGAGGCGACAGAGATTGCCAAGTTGGATAGAAGGGAGTTAGACCTGGGTTAGATTTGGTTTTGGGATTGGCAATTGGACTAAGATTAACTTAAATGGTAGCCATTATATGTTTAATTAAAGAATTGCAATTATTGCATTTTAGCCTTTTAACCCTTTTAAAATTAATTTAAAAAGATTTAATTATTTTTGATAAAACGTAGTAAAAATTATAATTATCAAATATACCACTAATTATTATAATTTTTAATTTATAAAATACTTTGTTTTCTATATTATGACAGTAATTTCGAATTATTAACATAGTAGTCTAATTAACTAAAAATTACAGAATAATTCATTAAATTAATCTTTCATATCAAGCCGCAATTCATATCATTGGTACCCATGATAGATTTGAGTTGCAGCTTGATATGAATGATTTGAAGAATTAGAGTTCCACTGATCGTATTTGAGTTTGAGCTTAGATCCTTGGTCCGCTTATGAGTTTGTTGTCCCTCGTAGCGTTGTAGCTTAGTTTGATGATTAGAAGGAGTTCCACGTTGCGATATTTGTTCCAGCAAAAACAAAATACACACATACCAATATATTACAATGCAAAATATGTTAAGATGTGATGTAAATGATGCTGAAATGATAATGCTTGGTTGTCGGCTAGTAGTTATTTGGGATTGGGATAATGGGATACTTGAATCTGACTCGATTATTAGTTGGGCTATGTACCATTTCGCAGCTTTCTAATCATTAAGTTTCCTCGTGTTGGGAGTATCTCTGCACGATATGAGTAGTTTACTTGTAATGTAGAATGCATCTCCGCTTGCTGGGAGAGGTTGCATCGAAATGTAAAGTATCTTCACGTGATGGGAGTGATTGCACTGAAACATAAAATATCTCCGCACAATAGGAGTTTCTGACTTGAAAAACAATGTAATTATGCATGTAAGCTGCATGAGCAAAACGTCAAAACATTTGAGATAAAAATAAATAAATAAGGAGCATGCCCAAGAGTTACTCTTGACTGCGAAACTAAATTGCTGCCATCGATTGGCAGAATGTTGGTGACAAGGTTTGCAACTATCTATTCTGATCTCTGATGTGGCAGAGTGGCTGTGCGGGTCACTCCCATTGGCGAAGCAAACAGTTTGCTATATACAGGGCTTGGATTGGCGAAGCCGACGCTCGATTTGTATGGCGTGCTCCAATCGATTGAGCTGATGATTTTCAATAGACAAGGCTTTTTTCGGCAATGTCGATGACTCGATTTTGTACAGGGCGCTCCGATTGATTGAGCAAGCGGTTTGCTATATACAATATGCACCGGTTGGTGGGGCTAGTAGCTCTCTATATACAACATGCTCCGTTGAGTTGAGAAGACAATCTGTTATATACAATATGCACCGGTTGGCAGGGCTAGTAGCTCGCTATATACAATATGCTATGTTGAGTTGAGCAGATAATTTGTTATATACAATATGCACCGGTTGGCGGGGCTAGGGGCTCGCTATATACAACATGCTCTGTTCATTTGAGCAGACGATTTGCTATATACTTCGTGTGCATCAACGGCCTAGTTCCAAGATATCTATAAGAATATGAGAGTTAGTTTTTAGTTATATAAGGAAAGAAAGGCGATACGTATGAGGGGGTGGCGGATCTGTCATTTCCTCAATGTGTTCCAGCACTTCTTTATGTCATGTTGGCCTTGCATTCAAAGAAAACTTCTTAGCAAAGGGGGTGTTGGTTTGTGTCGACCGTAGTCCTGGCTTTGCCCTTGTCTAAATGAGGTTACGCCATGAAGTTCGTTGGTTAAGCGGATTATGGCATTTGTAGAAAACATTTTGAAACATCTTTTGTTTTATGGGGTTCCGGATTATGACATGTTTTGGAAGTTCCTCAAATGCGAGTGTTGTTTCTTGAAAACTCTGACTTATTTATGTCAATCCTCCACGATGCGTCTGACGACATGGCTTCTTGCCGCTGCGATTATATCCTAATCTAAACTAATGCATTACAAAGTTTTTCCTAGGGTTATGATCGAACCCTTTCAGGTTGCATACATATTCGAAACGGAAGCAGGTCTGAACCTAGTTCATGGGTATTGTTAAAGAAAATATGATAAAGATGACTGAGACTGACTCAGGTAGCCTACGTATCCAAATGGAATCAGGTCAAAACGTAGTTCGATTAAAACAGATGCAATATGATGCGATTGAAAATGAAGTGGCCAAGTCTGATTTAGACTGCCTACGTATCCAAAATGGAATCAGGTCAGAATGTAGTTCAATTACAATAGATGACTGAATTCGATAAGGATTGCCTATATAATCCTTCCAAAGGAAATCAAGTCGTGGCGTAGTTCCGAGTACATATAAGATGATAATTGGATTTTTTATTACAAAAGAAAGGGGAGAGTGAAACCGAACCTTACATAGGTTGCCTACGTATCCCTCTGTGGAAAGTCAGGTCGAGCATAATTATGTTATAACCAAAACCTAACTCTATTGTCTTCAAACATAATATCTCTTGATTGCGTCTGAGTTGATAGGTTTTGTGCTGACTCTTCCGTCCATATCTGCCAAGATCAGTGCTTCTTCGGACAATACTTGATGGACCACGTAAGGACCTTGCCATTTCGGTGCGAACTTTCCTTTTGCCTCTTCTTGATGAGGGAATATTTTCTTCAAAACCAACTGCCCCGTTATGAACTGACGAGGCTTCACCCTTTTGTTGAATACACTGGCCATCCTATTTTGATATAGCTGACCATGGCATAATGCATCCATTCTCTTTTCGTCAATGAGCATGAATTGCCCCTACCTGACCCGTATCCATTCTGCATCGTCTAATTTGGCTTCTTGAATGACTCCTAAAGATGGTATCTTGACCTCTGCGGGTATCAAAACTTTAGTGCCATATACCAGCATGTACGTTGCCTCAGTGGATGTTCTCATAGTGGTCTGATAGCCCACGAAGGTGAAGGATAATTTCTCGTGCCATTGCCTATGATTTCCACTATCTTTCACAGAATCCTTTTGATATTTTTGTTGGTCGCTTCAGCTGCTCCATTCATTTGCGGTCTGTAGTCTGTAGAGTTACGGTGGACACTTTTGAACTTCTCGCAAATTTATTTCATGAGATCAATGTTGAGATTAGCTGCATTGTCAGTGATAATTAACCCGGGTATCCCAAACCGGCAGACTATGTTGTTACGGATGAAATCTGACACTACTTTCTTTGTGAAGTCCTTGTATGTAGAAGCTTCGACCCATTTGGTGAAGTAATCAATTTCTACAAAGATGAAACAATGCCCATTTGATGTAGCGGGCTCTATAGGTCCAATCATGTCCGTGCCCTAAGCGGCAAACGGCCAAGGCGAACCCATTACATTCAACTCATTAGGCGGAACCTGGATGAAATCCACGTGGATCTGGCACTGGTGACACATTTGCACATAGCGAATATTATCGCTTTCCATGATCATCCAAAAGTATCCATATCTCAAAATCTTCTTGGATAAGGTGAAGCCATTCATGTGGGGTCCACACATTCCTGCATGTATTTATTCTAGCAATCTAGTTGCTTCAGCGGTATCTACGCATCTTAACAGACCCAAGTTTGGGGTCCTCCTATATAGGACTTCCCCGTTGAGTAAAAAGTGATTTTTCAGCCTTCTAAGTGCTCGCTTCTAACATTAGTATCATTCTGTGGATACTCTCTTGCTTCAAGGAATCTTTTGATGTCGAAGTACCATGCCTTACCATCTAGCTCTTCGTCCAGATGAAAATAGTATGCATGTTGGTCCCTATTCTCTATCTCGATAGGGTCGATGTAATTCTTATCTGGATGGTGAATCATGGATGATAAGGTTGCAAGAGCATCGACAAACTCGTTCTGGATCCTGGGAATGTGCTTGAACTCGATCTTTGTGAACTTCTTGCATAGCTCCTTTACACAATGCAGATATGGAAGGATCTTGAAGTTCTTGGTAGTCCATTCTCCTTGAACTTGAGGTATCAATAGATCCAAATCCCCTATGAACAAAAGTTCCTTGATGTTCATGTCGACCGCTATCCTGATCTCGAGGATGCATGCTTCATACTTGACCATATTATTGGTGCAAGGGAACATTATCTTTGCTGATGCCGGGTAATGTTGTCCTGATTCTAAAATTAGGACTACCCCAATTCCTACTCCTTTGAAATTTTTTGCTCCGTCAAAGAACATTCTCCATCTTGGGTATGACTCTGCAATATCTTATCCGGCGAACAACACCTCATCGTCTGGGAAGTACATAGTGAGCGGCTCATAATCCTTGTCCATTGGATTCTCTGCAAGGTGGTCGACTAAGGCTTATCATTTGATGGCCTTCTGAGTTATATACACAATGTCAAATTCGCTAAGAAGAATCTGCCATTTGGCTAGTTTTCCTATAGGCATCGGCTTCTGAAAGATATACTTGAGCGGGTCGAGCTGGGATATTAAATGCGTGGTGTATGCTGACATATAATGCCTCAATTTCTGGGAGATCCAAGTCAAGGCACTTCTGGTCTCATAGTGTTGTTCCAACACGCATCCCAATGCATTATCCAAGACTGACAGGTATAACAATAGTGGTTTCCCGGGCTCGGGAGGAACCAACACTGGTGGATTTGACAAGTACTCCTTAATTTTGTTGAAGGATTTCTGACACTCTTCTGTTAATTTTGTAGTAGCATCCTTCTTCAGCAGCTTGAAGATAGGTTCAGAAATTACGGTAGACTGGGCTATGAAATGGCTGATATAATTCATCCTACCAAGGAAACTCATCACATCCTTCTTGCTGTCGGCGGTGGAAACTCTTGAATGGCTTTAATCTTCAAAGGATCCAGTTCTATCCCTTTTCCGCTTAAGATGAAACCTAGGAATTTTCCAGCAGGGACTCCGAATGCGTATTTTGCAGGATTTAACTTCAAACTATACCTCCACAAGCGTTCGAAAATCATCTTCAAGTTGTCCAAATGTTCTGAACTCTTTCGAGACTTAATGATGATGTCATCTATACATACCTTGATCTCTTTGTGAATCATGACGTGAAAGAGGGTTGTCATGGCCCTCATATAAGTAGCGCCACCATTTTTGAGGCTAAATGGAATGACTCTATAGCAGTAAACTCCCCAAGGTGTAGTGAACGCCATATTTTCTGCATCTTCTTCGTGCATCAGGATCTGATGGTACTTAACGAAACAATTCACGAATAACTGCAGCTCATGCTTCGCGCAGTTGTTGATCAGGATATGAATATTTGGTAAAGTAAAATTGTCCTTTGGGCTGGCCTTGTTAAGATCTCGATAATCAATGCATATCCTGATCTTCTCATCCTTCTTTGGTACCAAGACGATATTTGCCAACCATGTGGGATAATCGGTGACCCTCACTACGTTTGCCTCTATTTGCTTAGTTACTTCTTCTTTTATCCTCGAACTCAAGTCTGGTTTGAACGTTCTACGTTTTTGTTTGATTGGCAGTCTAGCAGGATCGGTAGACAATCGATACGAAACAATGTCAGTGCTTAAACCAAGCATGTCGTCATATGACCATGCGAACACATCCATGTACTGTCGGAGGAGCTCGACTAATTCTTCTTTCTGCTCTGCTTCCAGATGGATGCTGATTCGGGTTTCTTTCATGTCTTCTTCGTTTCCCAGGTTGACCACTGTTGTCTCTTCAAGGTTAGGCTTTTTCTGGCTTTCCAGCTGTTCGATCTCTTATGGGAGATTATTTGGCATCATGCTTTCATCGTATTCTTCGTAATCTGGATCGCTTTACTCGAGGGTTTCGTTACATGTCATAATCACGGAACGCGAGTTTGTATCATTTTGATTACTAAAAAGAAAAACTAAGTATAAATGACGCGATAAATAAATTTGCAAAAAAGTTTTAAGAAAGCATTTCTTTTTATTTCATCAAAAGAGGAACATCTGAGCATTCAAGGAGGAGAATGACAAAAGGGTATAGGCATGGTTCAATCCTTAATTGACTGTGTGCTTTTTCAAAAGTTTTACAATTCCACACTACCAAGACTCCTGGCGAACTAAAGACGGGCTGGCGGTCCAATTCTGCAAGTCCTCTCCTAGTTCAACATTCCGAATGGTCTGTGTCTTGATATCAACATTATCACAACATTCCTCGATCATGGTCACAAACAACATTCCCATTCCGTCGACGATGTCGTCCACTGGTGTTGTGCTCTAACCCGCACCCGAAACACACTCTGGCCTTCTTCCCGAAGCTATCAGTACAAGTCTTCCCAGTTGGAGGCTGATACCCTATGACTGCTCTACCTTTCTTATGACTCAGCTCAATCGACTCTGTTATCCCATCTGATCGGGCTCCCAACCCTGTCCCTATTCTGTACCCATATTTTATCATTTGTCTCATGGCCATTTTGATCTGTATGGTGACTGCATTCCCATATTTTTCTCGGTCTCTCCTATTTTCATGGTCTGCATGATCTCAACTGCATGGAGAACGACCCCGTCTAATCACTCTATTAACGGGACTGTATGTTCCAGATATGATGATTGGCTCTATTCACCATAGATTATAATCTCTTAGCAATCCCACTCGAACATCATGCACATATGTAGGATAGATGAGACTGCCCCTGCCATGTGTATCTAAGGTCTTCTTAGCAGCAGTTGTATAAAGATGAAATATCCATCACTTGGAATATTATGGGAAACTCAACTGCTCCAATTTGCAGAGCCAAATAGATTTCTCCAATGACGTCCTTATATAACCAGTCGAAATCTCTTACCCTCACGTGACATTCTTTTACTTCTCTCATATGAATACCTAACACTCTCAGGATAGAGAGCAGGAAAAATTCAACAAGAACTCTAGACACCACCTTATCTCCATATTTGACAATGATGTGCAAAGATTTGTTGTGACCCATGCCCTCTACAGGAAGTTCATCTCTTCGGAAAGTGATCATACTTGCTTTGACCATCTTTCTGATGGTTGCTGCCAGTGCCTCACTGGTGGTGTTACTCGACATGCTCAACCCACTTAACAATTTAATCAGGGCGTCTTTGTGACTGTCAGAACTCATCAATAGATCCATGATTGATATTTGAGTCGGGGTTTTCTTCAATTGTTCCTCCATAGAGTATTCTTTGGTTGACATCTTCTTCCAGAATTTTGCAACCTCCGGGTATATTATATTCCTTCTCTGAATTTGTTCCTTTCCTGGATTCCCTCGGTTTACATCCTCAGGAGCGTAACACCTCCCCGACCTTGTCATATCATGAGCCGCTGCGGAATCCGTCATCTTGGCTTTCCCTTTCTGTTGATATGTCCACCGGAGTATTCCCGATCCTCTTCATCCCTGATAGTAGTAGTGGGTTGTTGCTGGTACGTCTGGACCATCACTGTAGATTTTAACTATAATATGATCATTGGAGTCCTTCAATGTGGAGCCCTCGTAGCCTCACTGTTTCCTATTGTGACGATGGTTACTTTCAGGTGATATTCTTCATCCAGGGTGATCATATTAGCTCCTTGCTTCCGGTGATTTGGCAGCAAGATGCGATTCACATTGGGCGTAACTGAGGTGCACTAGATGGCTCCATTTTTAATCAGTGACTCAATTTTATACTTCAACTTGAAGCAATCCTTGATGTTATGCCCCGGTATGTTTGAATGGTAGACGCACCATTTGGTTGCATCAAAGTATTTTGAGGGATACTCAGGAACCCTTCCTTCTATCGGATGTATCAAACCTGCTCTTCTCAGTCTTTCACACATTTGATCCAAGGTTCTGCAATCGGGGTGTAGTTTCTGGGACCTCTTTCTTCAAATTTTGAGTGAGGTCTAGGTGCATATGTGGGTTTGTTTTGATGTGTGGTAGTTTGAACTGGAGCGTATGGTCGTGGTGGATTTGGATTTGTATGGGTGTGATATGGGTTATATTGAGGTTGGGGATTGTAGTATGGTTGTGTGTTGTAAAGTGGAGCATAAGTAGGTGGGTGTGGGGAATGGGTATTTGGAGAGTAAGAGTTGTTTCCATGGTGTGGATTGGACTGGTAATAGGGAATGATTATTGATACCTCTTTCTTTTTCTTTTTTCCGCTGCCTATTGAGCCGGATTGGATTGCTTTGCTAGTTACTTGCAATGCAACCATAGATTGTACCGCGTTGTCAGACTTTATGCATTCCTCTAAAAAGTCTCCTATTTTAACAAGTTCAAGGAACTTCTGCCCCATCACGCCCCATCATTTTCTCAATGTAGAATCCTTCCTAATCCCTGATGAAAAACTTAGTCAACTCACAGTCGTCTAACGGGGGTTGCACTCTGGCGGCCTGTGACCTCCAATGACGTGCATATTCTTGGAATGATTCAGATGATTTCTTCTGCAAGTTTACTAGTGCGAACCTATCAGGTGTGATTTTTGTGTTGAACTGGAAGCTATTCATGAAATCTTCTGCCATATCCTGCCACTCCCTCCAGTTTTGGGGATCTTGGCGAGTGTACAAAGTAAGTGTTTCCCCTATCAATGTCCTTATGAACAACTTCATGCTTAACTTCTCATTTATTCATACTCCAACTAGCTTATTGCATTAGGTTCTCAAGTGTGCATGGGGATCAGCTATCCCATCAAAGATATCAAACTTCAAAGGCTTGCACCCTATCGGCATGTCCACATCAAGGTGGATACACAGATCCTCATTGTTTATACTTTTGCTCCCTCAAGTGACCTGAAGGTTCTTTATTTGTTTTCTCAATGCTTGTAATTACTCAGACACTGATTCCTCCTCCTTATACTTAGCTTCTCTCTCCATTTCGGCATATTGATCAACTTCATAAGGCATATTATGACAAGCGTTGTGAAGGTAGGTTCTGAAACAACATATACAGGAGGAACTTATCGCTCGTGTGCAGCGGTATATGTCGCGGGTATGTGCTGGTTTTGGTTTGTGGTTAAGGTGACGCCATCACGAGGTGGGGTATGAATTGTGCTGGTGGCAACTGGTGGGTTTTGCAGTGTTTGAACGTAATTTGGTATGTAAGGAATGTTTATGAGAGGGTTTGGTGGGTTTGCAGGGGTTACTAGGGGTATAATTTG